CAACAGTGTGAGAAAGTGCAAAGGCAGTTAGAGCCTAGAAGGAGAACACTTGGCCTAGACTCTGGTGTGTGGGTGTGGAGGGGCTCCAGGAAAAGTCATTTTCAAGAACTAGAGAGCTGAAGCATGACAATGACTGCCTGATGACCTCCCAAAAATTGCTGTTTCAGAGCCTTAGTTCCCTATCTCCAAAATGGGGATAATAATAATAGTTTTGAATAATTTACTTTCGTGGGAGGTGGTAAGGAGCTGATTAATAAAGGTTTGTTCAGCAGGGCTTTGTTGAACTAGAAAGTGCTTTATCACTGCAAGGAAATGTTAGTAAGTTATCAGATATTGTTATCTTCATCCCTAGACTTCTTTATTTTCCATACATATAGATTTCCCATTCCTAGTAGAACAAAGACAGAGAATAGAATAGATTAGGGTGGAGAGATTTATACTGCTGTAGTTTTCTTGGCAGATAGGCCTCATAGGCCTTGGGTGGAGGATGGGACAAGCTCCTCCCCCCACTCCAACAATGTGAGAGGCCTGAGAAGTGTTTGCCCTTGAGATCCACCTCATTAGAGCCAAATTCAGCCAGGTGAAGAAGGCCACCCATACTGTGATCCCTTGTGGGGGGGGTGGATTTCACTTACATATCAGCAGCCATCAGATGCAAAACTGCCCAATATGCCCCAAGCAGGGGCAAATGCACCTGAAAGATATGTTTTTGTAAACTGAAGAGATTTATCTCTACTCCCAAATAGTCAGCTATTGCTATGGAAAGGTCGTAACCAAGTGATTCCAAATGCCAGCAATTCCTGGTTTACTGAGATTTAAATTTCAAGAGTAATGAGTATTTTTTCCCTAAGGGATACTCTCCTCTTTTTTTTTTTTTTTTTTTTTTTTTAAGAACACTTTTTCTGTCATTTCATGGTATTTTCCATGCCCATTCTGGCAGTATGAAACATAATAAATAACAGCTAAATTAGAAGTAAATATGAAAAATGGAAATATCACTCTGAATACTATCTAGCCAAGACTCCTTTGTGGTGACCCAGTTCTCCTGTCTGCAAAATAAAAATGGTAGATGGGATTTATCTTCCAAGTTCCTTGGACCATCAACATGCCGCATGTCTGTGGTTCTTGCCTCTCTTTTTCCAGCTTTCATTTTCAAATCACAAGAAACTCAGCTCACTTCCATTTGTCAGCCTTTTATTGAAAATCCAGCTGCCCAAGAAGGCCAGATCTTGTAGCCTGGGCTGCTATTTAAATCACTGTCAAACCAAAGAAACTTCGTTTAAAATTATATTTTGTTAATCCATCATGTGGATATGCAGCTTGCTATTTTTAATATGTGCTCTGCACAGCCCAGTTATTCATGGCTGAGAGTTTGCCTTGGAACCTCAGAGCTGTATTTAAAAACAAACAGACCCAGAAAAAGCAAGACTTCTTTTGCAGGCTAATGTACTTTTGGAGTGAGGGAGCAGAGGGACAAACTCTACTTCCCAGTGGAAAATTCACAAGTTTCCCTAGCTTGTTTGATGCCGCAGAAGGAAGAGAAGAGCCTACCTTTGTACTGATGTAGATGGTGGACTACTTGGTCACTTGTCAAAATTCTAGGTATATACATTACTTTTTAACAAAGCTCAGACATTCTTGACATCTTCCAATAATTCTCCTTCTCTGCACTCTCCCTTCATCCCTTTTCTTTCGCTCATATTATGCAACCTACACAGGGACAGAAAAGGGTATGAAAAAAAGAAGTGTTTAATTAAACTCATGCAGAAATACCTGTTTGAAACAACTCTTAAGTAAGGCTGGAAAACCATCGGTAGCTTAGGTTGAGCTATGTAACTGTAGCAACTCACCTAAATGCTGACTTTCTGAACTTCGAGGGATGATATTAATTCTTTCATTCAGACATATTAATGAAAATAAGATGGGCCAGGAACTTTCTACACTGCAGTGTTTACAAAAGTGAGGAGACACAGTAGTGGCTTTTAAGGGACTCCTAGTTTACTCGGGCCCCAAACTTAAAAACTCCCAAGAGAGAGATCCATCAGGAAATATGGTTCCTGATCTTCTTTCTCTGTCTTTCCAATTTACAAAATGATATTTATATCATTTCATTGCATCTTTATAAGAGCCTATGGAAGCTATTTACCATCCAACTACTTTCTTTAGGCAAATAGGCTCATTGAGGGTCTGTGAGTCATAGGATTCTGATCCGGCTGATGGAAAGTAGAACAATAAAGGACAATAATGAGACTATTCATTGACTCTGTCATTCAGAACTGCCAAAGCCCGGAGCTCAGACACATTCACAGTGATTTCTGCTAAATACCTGTTGTCTCTCTCTGACTATAAATATCACAAGAAAAGGCGTAAAAGGGAGGAGCAATGTTTTACCCTTGGTTTTGGAAATTGACAATGAAAAATGTCTTGACATTTTCGCCTATTTCTAACTCTACTACAAAGGCTAGAGATAAACTGGGAAAGCATTCTGATCCCTAAGATCCTTCAGCTAGCTGTCTCACTGAAGTCTGCCATTGACAGATAGGTATGAATGAACTGTGCTGAAGTTCCAACCGCTGGGGTGACTTGTACCACTGCTCAGGTAGAAGTCATACCCTCTCATGATGAGATGTGAAGTCTGAACAGCAAGGCTGGGAGAGTCAGAAGTTTTTATTATTAGTAATAGTAGGATATGTTTATGATACACAATAATTATATTCATCTTGGGGAGCTGGCCAGAGATGCTAAGTAACTTCCTACTCAGTCTGCATACATTTACCTGGGCACATATCTTCCCTCTTGAAGGTTTGAGCTTTCCTTTTTTTTTTTTTTGGTACTGGGAATTGAACTCATGACCTTGTGCTTGCCAGGCAGGCGCTGTTTCCGGGAGCTATATCCCCAGCCCTTCCCTTTTCAAGGTTGATTGGGTGAGAAAGTTTGTTTTAAAGAGAAAGGAATCAAAAGCAAAAGAAATTAACTGATTATACCGAAGTTCTTCACCCATGACTTGACTCAGTAATCATAGAGGGTCCTTACGCAGAGCCAAGTGTTGTGGGAAATAATCTGAGCAAGAGAAAGCCGTCATTTTCCAGAACCGTACAATCTGGAACTTGCATTAGCAATGATAAAACAACGTTAAAACTTATCAGTCTCAGGGCTGGGGATTTAGCTCAGCGGCACAGTGCCCACCTGGTAAGGTGCAAGGTCATGAGTTCGGTTCCCGGTGCCAGAAAAAGACCAAAAAAAAATTTATCAGTCTCTTACGCCCTCTTCTGTAAGGGCTCAAGGGAGCTTCCAAGGAAGGAAGGTTCGCGACCAGCTTGAGCAAGGACCAGGGTGGAAAACTGGTTTTGGTGTAAAGTTGGAAGAGGGGTTGATACAGATTCCTGGGGGAAGTTAGTGGCCAGATGTGTGTTGTGTAGTAATTACCATGGCAACAATGTGGAGAATACATTGTGGAAAAGGTGAAGAATTAGGTTGATAACAACAGTAGAAGCTGGTATAGCTAATTTCTATTGGGTGTTTAATATGTCATTCTTCACCCCAAGTGCTTGAGATGAGTTATTTCATATAATTCTCAAAACAACCAGTGAGAGAGGAGTTACTATTATTTCAAACTACATATGGCAGAGTCTGGGCTTCCTTACAGGTGTAACAGAGCAATTTGCACTTTTGGCTACGAGAACCCAGGTAAGAAAATAAAGAGCCTGATCCAAATCAGTAACTGTGTGGGATAGAGAAATGCTGCCTTTTGGAGAACTAAGGAGGTTAATTTTTGTTTCTCAGAGTCAACACACCTCTTAAAATGCTTGCATTCCATGTACACTAACCCCACTTTTAAGATCCCATTCGTCTAAGGAACTGTGATTTCCCTGGAACTTGGCTCCCCACGAAAAACCTAACTCCTTTCCAGGATCCAGGCCTTTGGCTTATCATGATCCACCCAGTTTCTGGCAAATAGTGAGTCTCAAATTCTATCAAAAAGAACATTTTCTCTCTCCATCCAACGTTCTCTGCAACCGGAGGCAATTCATTGTTTCCCCTCCCCCACACCCTCACTCCGCTTTCCCTTTCTGTAAGAGAAGGTCGGACGTCATTAACGCACTACACCTTAAACTGTTAGTTAAGTTGAACAGGATATTGCCCAGGGAAAGGGCACGTGAGCGGTTAACGGGATTGTATGCGGGGCAGGGTGGGCACTCAATTTTGATATGCTTAGTTCTACCATTCTTGGCAATTTTTTGCCAAAGGAGGAGATCGGTCGCATCTTCCTTAACGCAGGTTCCTTTCGCCATCTAAGGCATCGGAGTTCGCGGGTAGAGATGGAAACGCGCCGGTAGACAGGCGTCCTCGCCCGGGACACGCCCTTAAAATCCGCCGAGGAGGAATCTTTTCTCCTTGAACGCGCTTGGCGAGCCACGAGCCCACGGGGGTGGCGGAGGACAGAACACGTCCGCACCTCGCGCGTCTGCCTAAATGCACACTGGCGAGCGATACAGGCGCGCAGACCTCTTGTCCTGTATTTATTTCTTCTCTCCACCGGGTGCGCTGTCCCTTTAAATGGGGACGCTGCTGTTGGCTCCGTAGCACCCGAGCCGGCAGCTTGTTGATTTCGGAGCTGGTGAATTTCACATTGTTTCCACTTCACTTTCCTTGCCCGTGGGGGGAAGGCTCGGGTGGGCTCTCCGATCGCGATCGCCGCGGCCAGCCAGGGCTCGGGCAGGGCCGGGGCCCGCAGCGT